AATGCCACCTCTCATCAGCTCTTCAGAGTGCTGTCAAATACCTGAGAATTTCAGGAGGACTCCAGGGTATCGAAGTGACAGTGTCTGACCTATAGTCTGATTTGCAGAGCAAAAAATAGAAATGTCCCACTGTCTGAGAACATATTTCACCAGACTCCCAGAAGAGTGGACTCTGCAGAACTCCTTCCAGAGAATTTAAACCTGTAGCCAGGTCTGACCGGAATGAATAACTGGAGAGCAAATCAAGGTGCTACCTCAGGAGCCTCAACCCAGGGGATGAGTATATGCCCCTTAGGACTGCTTCTGCAGTGCTCAGAGGGCTGCATCTCCATTAGACTTTTTTTTGTGGGCGAGTGGGGTGCGATGGTTCTCAGGGCACCCACCACTGAGAGTCACCTTGTTACCCTCTGCTTCTGGAGTGAGGGAGTTTTCCCTGTGTCTGCCTACCTGGGTGTTAGGTCCCTAACATCACCAGCCTTTCAGCCACTCAAGCACTGTCTTTGTCTTGCAGGTTACCAAGAAGAACACTCCGGTTCTTGAATCCCTGACACTGGCTACTCACAGAAATATCAAATCCCCGTCCCCACACTGAGGCAAGAGTTGTTTGCAAAGAACAAGGGAGCCTTTGCCAAGGAGCCTCTGTGTCATTGGGGATATTTCTCATTATTGCATAACCACTGGTCGGAGTGTTAGTGTACACAGGTAATTGGTGGTTTTACTACTGTATCCACTAACTGTGCTTAGGTCTAGATGACATGATTGTAAGTCTTGGTGAACACAGCTCTACGCCATCACTGCCAATGTTGTCAATGCTAGTAGAGCTCTACTAGTGGAATACACACTGGGAGATTTCCCAGAGAAGTCTAATGTAGACAAGGTCTGTTTCAGAGAGTCAGCTAGAAGCAGACTGGTACAACCAATCTTTCCCACAGCATAAAGTTTGTAATTTTTGCTTTACCTTTTCCTATTGGGGTGTATGTTCAGTACTAATTGGGAGGGAAGGAGAGTCTTCTACTGAATCATCAACACCACTTACTGCAGCACCCAAGTGATTATTTGGACTCCCACCTATACACTGATGCAGCCTGCCCTTGGTTAATTTGTGAGATCTTGCAGTATCGCATAGTAAAATGTAGAATGAATGCAAGTTTTAGCCCTTAGACTGCTCTTAACTTTCTAGCCTCAGCATCTTTCCAGTTTTATGGTTATCTAGAGCAGGGGTTCTCAACCTTTTCCTTTCTGAGGCCCCCCCAAACATGCTATAAAAACTCCACAGCCCACCTGTGCCACAACAACTGGTTTTCTGCATATAAAAGCCAGGGCCTGCGTTAAGGGATAGCAAGCAGGTCAATTGCCCAGGGCCCCACACCACAGGGGGCACCGTGAAGCTAAGTTGCTCAGGCTTCTGCTTCAGCCCCAGGTAGTGGGCTCAGGGCCCAGGCTTCAGCCCCATGCAGTGAGACTTTGGCTTTCTGCCCTGGGCCCCAGCAAGTCTAACACTGGTCCTGCTTGGTGGACCCCCTGAAACCTGCTTGGGGCCCCCTCCCCCAGGGTCCGGGACCCCTGATTGAGAACCACTGATCTAGAGGTTTCAGAGTAGCAGCTGTGTTAGTCTGTATCGCAAAAAGAACAGGAGTACTTGTGGCACCTTAGAGACTAACAAATTTATTTGAGCATAAGCTTTTGTGGGTTCATCGGATGCATGCAGTGGAAAATACAGTAGGAAGATATATATATACACACAGAGAACATGAAACAGTGGGTGTTACCATACACACTATAACAAGAGTGATCAGTTAAGGTGAGCTATTACCAGCAGGAGAGAAAAAAAAACTTTTTGTAGTGGTAATCAAAATGGCCCATTTCTAGCATTTGACAATTTGATTACCACTATAAAACGTTTTTTTTCTGTCCTGCTGGTAATAGCTCACCTTAACTGATCACTCTCATTATAGTGTGTATGGTAACAGCCACAGTTTCATGTTCTCTGTGTGTATGTGTGTGTATATATATAAATCTTCCTACTGTATTTTCCACTGCATGCATCGGATGAAGTGGGTTTTAGCCCACAAAAGCTTATGCTCAAATAAATTTGTTAGTCTCTAAGGTGCCACAAGTACTCCTGTTCTTTTTACTGATCTAGAGTTACATCTAGAGTTATAGTAAAAAGGATTTAAAAAACACACAAAGTAAAGGCCAAGAGTTTGGAAGGGTTGCCTATGTGTATGGGAGTCCAAGGCCATAAATCAACCTCTAACTAATGGAGGTTAAGAAGAAACTTTCCCTATGGGTAGGTTATTTTATAGCTGTCTGATGCAGGGTTTCTTGCACCTTCTACTGAGTCATCTGGTATTGGCCAGACAGAGAATATACGGCTAGCTGGACTACTGGTCTGATCTTGTATGGCAGTTTGTGTTCCTATATTCTACTATTAGGAATAAATCAGTTGCAGAACACCTGCTGTGACTACAGACTTAATTAGAAAAGCTCATATGGGCTTTGGGGTTAGGTGAGCCAGTTTAGGCCTTGGACATTCAAGAATGCAGTACTATATGAGTACTGAAAACTGAGATTCCAGTAATGGAATGGGGCCACTATGGTTCTCCCCATCTTTGAACCACTGCCTGGAGTATTGTTCACCAAGCATTAGATTGTTACGTTACCTTCATTAAAGTTGCACATTTTTGGCCAACATTTTATGTAAAAAATCACTTGTTCTCTTTTGCTTCTCCCCTCAGCAAATTTCAAGGGGTGTCTCCCTTTCATTTTAAACCGCTAAAAAAGCAAATAACATTTTGGTTTAAATATCTCATACTTAAAAGCAAATATTCTTCATGCATTTGATGTGTTTTTAAAGAAGCCATTTTATATTAAAAAAACCAGAAAATGCTACAAACAAACAAACTCTTACATATCTTCCACCATTCATTTTCTTTGCTTTTTTTGCATGTGAAACTTTTTCATAGAAAATTGGGTCAACTTTTTGAGTTTGTGCTTTAGATTTGCCAACAGTGTTCATATTACAGAAGAGCATGTGCTTATTCCTATTAAGTTTAATACACAGGGCCTGAGAAAATGCCTGTGTCTATGGAAGTCCAATGTCTGATCCCAAATCAATGGGATTTTATTGACTTCAGGTGCATCTTGGATCAGGCCCAAAAGTATCACAGAAACAAAGGTTGCAGCTTCAGTCAACTTATTATTAATGTTCTCTGATTTTCCTATTGAAATGACATCCCATTAGATTTTAATTACTTTGCATGAAGGTCCTCCTGACATTTCCTTATTCATTTAGTTAATTATTAAAACAAATCCAGGGAAATATTAACTTTCTTAGTCTTTAAAGTCTTATCAATAGGAAGGCAGGTATGATGGGGGAAAACAAGCTTTTTATTGACAGGGAGAGAGACATTGGACAGCTCTGTTCTTAAAGCAGAAATAGTGTTTTATCAGAGATAGGAGAAAGATATAACACAGGATAGTATCAGGAGGTAGCCATGTTAGCCTGTATCCACAAAAACAACAAGGAGTCCGGTGGCACCTTAAAGACTAACAGATTTATTTGGGCATAAGCTTTCGTGGGTAAAAAACCTCACTTCTTCAGATACATGGATTGAACATTTTTCACTCCATGCATCTGAAGAAGTGAGGTTTTTTACCCACAAAAGCTTATGCCCAAATAAATCTGTTAGTCATTAAGGTAACACAGGATAAAAAGCCAGGAGGTAAAATATATGCTTCATCATAGCTGACAGTGTACGTTTTATCAACTAATATACACGTCTTCCTGCTTTCATTTCACAGAGAAAACACACTGATATTTCTATGTGTCCAAAGGCATCCAACAGAAAGAATATCCCAAAATATTAAAAATATATCACTGTAAACAGATTCGACTGGCCACAAATTGTGTGTGTAAGCGTTTCATAACCTTAGAATCAAAATTTCTTGTTTCATAATTTTACAATACTACTGGTATTCTAAAGGATATTTAAACATAAAATGTTACCATGGGGCGTGCCTATAAATGTTGTACCAAATGATATATGTATGCCATTCATTCATTAGGAGCTGTATGGAGATCACCCACACATTTGCTTCAAATAGGCTGTTGAATAGTAATAACTTCTGGTCATTTGCAGCCTGTGTTAGATATGATTGTGTGACCTCGCCCTTCTAAGCTCATTACTAGTCCTCTGAGCCATCTCGTACCAAAGGAAGGTAGATTTAAAATTGACTGCAAAATAGAGATTACCAAAAAGAAAACTTGAATGGCTTGGATTTGGACCTGATTTTGGATAAATGGTTCTTGTTTGGGCTCTGTTCTGTATAATATACAGCAATAGACAATGTGGTTTCCATGCTATCACCATTACCTCATTGAACCGATTCTTTATCTGCAGTCTACACACATTGTGGATTATCATAGCAATGTTGCTCTTGCAGAGTTCATATGCTTTTCAGAAGATCGCAACCCAGATTTTCAAAAGAACTCTGCTCCTATTCATGTACTTAAATAAGGGACACATTTTCAAAAGGGCTCCTCACACAGCAGCAACCAGTGATGCGCAAGATTTTCCAAATATCGTGTTATTTGCAGAGCTCCATTGAAAACCTGGCCACTTACTAAGGTGCCTATCTACTCAACTGAAAATCAGTGCAAAATGAAACCTGCTTGGTGTACCTGAAAAGCTGAATGTTAAAGTTGAACTTTGTACTTTTTCTCCTGTTGTGGTTCTTCCTGATAGCATTCTGTTGCACAAGAATAACTGCTGCTGCAACTGAAGAGACTATTTTGTCAGCTGATCTGGGTCAGTATTCTTGCAAATATTTTATCACCTTTCTTTTGGGAAAATTCAACCCAAATGACTTAAAGTCTTTACTATGCAGTGAACAGCTTACAATTCTCAGTGTCAACCTATTTACCAACAAAAAGAGTGACAATATGCAAAGAAACAATGGTTATTTAATGGAGAAGCAGAAAGGAACAAGAGACTTACGGCTGGTGCATTATATTGAATTTGTTCAACTCATAGTCTGATATATTCTGAAAAGAGAGAAAAAAAGAGGATTTATCAATAAAATATATTTTTAAAAACAAATTAAAGGGTCAATCTAGATTGAGACCAGTGTATTGTCTGAAGTTCTGAATTAATCAATTATTTTTTTAAATTTGCCCTTTGTTTATGAAGTCACATGGCTATCTAGCCTGAGTTAAAGCTTAACTTTTTATGACTAGCATTTGGTAACATTTCTGGAAGGTAGCTCACACATACCATGCAGTTATGAATTTAACCTGGAATGTCACATATTAACAAGCACAGGCTAATGGATTATTTAAAAAAAAAAAACAAGTGATAAGCCATCTTGCATGGTATATCTCATAGACTTTCCAGCTATATTCTCCTCTCTTCAGGAGCTTTTATTGAAATCAGGGAGGTTTGGGTAAAAATTGGTGGGAGGTACTAACACATGTCAGAGTTTGGTCTGTTACTTGACTAGGTTTTGTATCACTCTTCATCTGCGATTTTAGGAAATGATCAGCACAATACAAGTCAAACCTTCAGCCTGGCTTTAAATAGGATTCTGGTTTTTGTTATAGATTTTTTTAAAGGTTTTTTTTTAGTGCAAAGTTGCATGCATAATCTTTGCACTTGCTGTTATTTGCATCTAGATTTACACATGTAAGTGAACTAAAGGGCAAGTGAAAAATGACACCCACAATTACGGTATATGTACTTGCAACAGTGGAAGCCACTCGATGGAAAATCAAGCTATATACGTGATGCATGCCCTGGAAGAAGGAAGCTAAAAGATAGTTTATATATTTTTTAGAAATTGCCTTTTGAAAAACAGTTAAAGTATTCATCTATGTACAGGAGAGAATTAAACTCAATATACATGCACTCTGAAATGTATTTTGAAAATTGATAGTTGCCAGTGTTGGATGTGGCCACATTGTGGTGAAAATCGTCATTTGTGGTAATGACAACTGCACTCTACCTTTGAACTCTTGAGGTGTGGGAGGGAGGTGCTTCCCCCACTGATTTCAACAGAAGCACCAGGCCCAAAGTGTGACCCTTATAATGGAAGGGACTGTAGCCCAATTTCTATTTACAAATTGCACGGAGTGGATTGGTTTCTTGCTTGTTGCTTGAGGTTCCCTAAGCACAGGACTGATGGATGTGAAGTCTTTGAAGTTCAGGCTTTGGTGTAAGCTGGTGTTCTCCAGTGACTTCAGCAATACTGACTTCATTGTAACACAATTGACTTGCGTACATCAATTCTCAATGTGCCCATTTGACTTTTAAAAAAACAAGCTGTCCCATTTGTTTTCCTCACTCGCTTTTCCCTTGGTATCACAGACAAGTTGATGCCAAACTCATAAAATTAAAATGAGAAATTAGAGCAACAACAATCAGATGAATTGAACACATTAAGTGATGCACATGGAAGATCTGAGTCAAAGCATCTCTCTTCAGCCTATATTTAAATTCAAGTGTATCTCTGCATTTCACTGTTATTTGATATTTGTTGGAAAATATGTCATTTCAGACACTATAAAACCCTCCATATTTAATACTTATCCTATAATTATACTGTAACACAAAGCAGCTGCTGAACTGCACATACTGTGTACAATAATTAGTGGATGATTTGCAACATCTGGAAATCAGCAAATTCCTTTGGAGCTTTTAAAAGTATATCTAGCTGTCTTATTGACATATGGCACATTTGTGTGTTTAAGTACAGTCAGCAACTAACAAGCACCCAAATCCCCATTGTAGAAAAGTGACCGGTTATATTAATGTCATTTTCTTCTATCATTAAATCATTTTAGTCCTGAGGAGACAGAACCCCACACATGTTATTAGATGCCTTTAGTTTTTGATCACTCCCCTTTCACCATAAAACTAACAGCTCATTTTCATTTCTTTACCAGCAGTTTTGGTCATCCTCTCACTTAAGTTCAATGAAATGAATATTAAGATTCCTAAGGCAAAACTGCTCTGTGAATTGCAACTAATATTCTGCTTTTTTCTACTGCAACAGTCTCCAGAGGGATTATTTAATTTGGAATCATATTAGTGCCCCAAAAGGCTGCATGAAACCACCAGGATGGAATCTAACCCTGTCTACACTGATGCCAGTTGGTTAGTACAATTAAAGTACTCTGGCTCTAAAGCTCTCTGTTTCATGTGCGTACCGCGCGCGCGCACACACACAATTAATAGACATTTTCCTAGCAATATTAGGTTCACATTTGGATCCCTTTTCCCTACACTGGGGAATGTTTGGATTCAGAGTTCTAGTTTTGGCTCCTTTATTAGAGCCAGCCCTGAGCTGTGAAGTTCATATCTGAACTTGCCAAAGTTTGAGGGGATTGGAATCCATGGCTTTAGGTGAGGCCCATCTCTTCTCATCTTGTTTAACATATTCACTTTTGCAGCAAATTGTATCCTTGATCATAGCCGTGTGGCAAGAAAAATCATGACTTAAAACAGAGTACAAAGATATCATGCAAAATCTGTATTCAGGAAATTACATGATGGCTTGTGGGAGGTGACTCATTCTCTTACGTTTTCATTATTCACTACCTCTATTGTTGCCCATTTTAGAGGTTATAATATGTACTGCAAGTGACTCATACTGCAAGACTTGGAATATGTGGCATATGAATGTAAACGACAAAGACGTTAAAATTGTTTCTTCCCTGGAGGGAATTCAGCTAGACAACACATAATGAGCAACTAATGGGGCAGACAAGAGACTTTCTGTTGTCTAGGGCTTCCTGTGTTAAACTGAAAGAAAACCTAATAGGTATGTACTGTACATTAAAGATATACACATGCCATATTGTCCTTTAAATCTACTTTAAAAGATGTTGAAATAAATAGGAACTGATGAGATTGGTGTCCAGTTTTTAAATGTTCACAACAGGACCTCACTAATTTTTGTTTTGTGCCAGAGCTAGAGCAATGTTATGTTTAGCAACTTTGGTACTGTAGGAACAATCCACTGTAATGTTCAGCAAATTAGTCACCACAATATGCTTTTCCCTTTCCTTACATGATGGCTTCTTTACATCTCTGGTGTATCTCCCTCTCAAAGTAATTAACCAGCCACAGTGGCTGTGGAGAAATTCTTAATAATTCTGTTTTAGCTAACAACTGACAACTACTTTCCTATCTGCTCCTTGCTTCTTCAATCCCCTGACCTCTAGTTTTCCACCAGTGAGGTAGCAGGGAAGGTTACAATAACACATTTAATTGACTAAAACAAAAACAAAGACATCTAAGGAGCACAAGCTCCCTCTATCCACTTGGAGCAGCAACACATTTTTTCTCCTGGTAGAAGGTTCAAAAGTTCCCTGTACTGGGATCTGACATGTTTTAGCAGAAACTCTGAACCAAATGTTTAGGGTAAGTGTTCAGGAATTCCTAGCTGAGGTTGTGTTAATGGGAGTTGATAGAAGAGCCTCCCAGATGTCCCTGAAGAAGGATAGTTTTGGTATTGATTCCTCTCATGGTTATGAGTCATTTTTTCCATTATGGTTTAAAGTGCGTGGCTATGAATAAAGCTAATATTTTGTCATAGATAGTTTTAGTAAAAGTCACTGACAGATCATGGATGATAAAGAAAAGTGACCTGTCCATGACTTTTACTAAAAATATCCATCACAAAATGGGGAGCTCAGCTGCGTGGTTCCCACACCGCCTGCAGTGGCTAGGAAGATGCAGCTTCGGGAGGCCCATGTTGCCTGTGGCCAGGTACCCCAATGAACCCTGCAGCTCCTGGCCACCACTGGCTGAAGTCACGGAGGTCGCTGGAAGTCACCTCCCAAATATGCCTCCCAGCACCCACATCCCCTCCAGCACCACCCCAAATACCCCCTCCCAGTACCCAAAACCCTTCCAGCACCTCCTAAATACCCACTCCCAGTACACACACACCACCAGCATCACCCAAGTACCCCCGCCAACTCTCCTAAATACCCTCTTCCAGTACACACACACACACACACACACCCCACTCCAACATCCCCCTCTAGCACTCCCAAATATTCCTCCGAGTACACATAAACACTCTTCCAGCACCCCCAAATACCCCTTCCCAGTACACACACACCACTCCAACATCCCCCTCCAGTACCCCCAAATACTCCTCCCAGTACACATACACTCTTCCAGCACCCCCAAATACCCACTCCCAGTACACACACCACTCCAGCATCCCTCTCTAGTACCCTCCAAATTCCCCTCCCAGTACAAAAACATCCCTCCAGTACCCCTCAAATGCCCGCTCCAGCACCATCCCCAAATACTTCTCCCAGTACACACACCTCTCTAGCACTCCCAAATTCCCCTCCCTTCACACACACCTCTCTAGAACCCCCAAAATACTCCTCCCCATATGTACACACCCTGCAGCATCCACAAAATACACCCTCCCAGTACATACACACACCCCTCCAGCACCCCCCAAATTCTCCTCCCAGTACATACCCATCTAGCACCCTCAAATATCTTTTACCAGTGTACACATCCTTCCAGCACCCCCAAATTACCCCTCCAATACTCCCAATAAACACCCCCCCCAGCACCATCCAAGTGCCCCTCCCAGCACACACACCCCTCCAGTACCTCCAATACACCTCCCAGTACACACACACACCCTTCAGCACCCCCAAAATGTCCCCTCCAGCACCCGCTCTCCCACACCCTCCTCTTGGCAGTGTCCTTTATTTAGGAACTTGAAATATGATAACTATTGAAGACCACTGGAAATCTGTAAAGGGTCAGACTTTAGCTCAAATAGAGATAGTGGAGATTCTCTGGATTGTTTGCTTTGCAAACATGCCATATTGCTTGATAAGGTTCTCTGTATGTGATCACAAAATGATGTATTTATACTGCTGACCTTGTCATCATCTGATAATACTGGGGATTTTCTGGACTTTTCGCTTTGCACACATTCCATATTGCTTGTTAAGATTCTCAGTATCTGACCAGAAAGTGATGTATTTATATTGCTGACCTTGTCATC